AACAATCAGATTTCTTCGACAAAAGATGTGGTTTGTTTTTTTATACATAGAATTCATTAGTATTATTAAATACTCTTACACATTTCTTTAAACTATAAATGATTTCCTCATACTCGGTTCCTCAGTCTTCAAAAGCTTTAGAAGTTAAATAAAAGCAGGTACATGTTAGAAGCCTGGGTAGTGTGGAGGTGTTACTTTGTGGTAGATTTTTTTTAATCTAAGCACATATATTACAGAAACCATTAACTTTTCTTTTTATAAGGAGGTCTTAGATTGACTATTACATAACAAGGAGATTCAATGCAGATTATTTCAGTCTCACAGTGAACAATGAACCTCATCTGGACAACTGCATGTCCAGTCAGACAAGAAGGAAAAATGAATGTTTTCTTAGATGTCCTCACAGACCAGAGCCAGGTGAGAGCCAGTCTCTGGTGTGCCAGACAAATGAATAACCAAACACCAGGACCACAACCAGGACCAGCTGTGGGACAGCTCGGCTCTTGGTTCTGGTATCCACAGAAAGAGTTTCGGTTTGAGTTGTAGACGGCTGAAGATGTGCAGAGATCATTAAAATCAACATTCTTCTGTGATGCTAAGCATGTGTGATGTGAGAAGCCCCTTGAATTGTAGCTATACGGCAGCCTCTGTGCATTCACCTATGATAAACCAGGCCTTTCATGAAAAAATATTGTTCATATAGATACCAATCTGTGTTCAATGACAGCACAACACTTCGTCCACATTTATTTATCGAACACTGGGATAGGTATACAGTTGTTTCTCTAAGAACTTCCATGAATGTTAATGACAGGGATTATCACTTGTAGACAAAACTTGTGCCTAGAAAAATATGGAAAAGGAAAGCCAATAAAGCATCATGTGAAAAATATTAGCTTGCTGAAAAGCTCTTTATGGTTTGAATTAATTTTTAGTTCAGCTGCACTTGTTAAAACTATAAATAGATAAATAGTCTCTTGCTTTCCTATAGCTTTTTTCCTCTTATAGTGAGCTTTAGAAGTCTTCACATTCAGTGATTTTTATTTTATTATATGTAACTATCACTGCAAGCTCTCTTTCAAAGAACTACTTTGATAGCAGGCTGTTTTATCTCAGTTCCTAGTGTGATAAAAGCCAATTTAGAGTCACTTACTTTATACAAAACAATGGAAAATACAAGATATTTTGGTGATAATAGCATCTTTAAAAAAAGGATGACCATCTGCCTTTATTCACTTCTCCTGCTTTCAGTGTCCTTTTGAGCTCCCCTTTCCCTATGGAAAGACAAAATCACTGAGATCATTTTCAGACCTGTCAGCTGCGAGGATATGGTAACCATCTTATAAGATAAACATATGGCTGGGTCTTAAGGGCTTTTTCAAACTGGGAATCCAAATATAGGCTGCCAAGTCGTGTACAGAAGCATCTGCCACGTCGGTTCCCCATCACAACGCCTCCCTGCACCACCAGGAATCCTGAGCTGGTGCCTGCTCTTTTCCAGGTTGGCATTTTATGGCAAGAGCTAGCCACAAAAATCCAAGTGTGTATATCTGAAGGCTTAAATTTAGGCTCAGCTTCAGGCTCCTGAATTTGAAAGTCTTGGGAATAATTTGGGAAAGATGAGACTCGCCCATCTGGAGGGTCACAGCAGAAACCCAGCTGTAAGCTGCAGGGTGACCTGACACGGAGGTACCTGGATATTGGGCAGTCTCTCCAAGTGGACTGGGAGTGATTATTCTGGGATATGCTTTGAACCCACTGGCTGAGCAATGCCATTCACACAGTCCTTATTGGGCAGGCCAAGAAAGATCTGTTCGTACTCCATCTGATTTATTTTTACAAAGTTCCTGACAAAACTGTTGCCTAGTAGCCCCGAAATGTCTGTATCTTGCTTTATTTGTGGCTTCTTGGCTTAGATGGTTTAGCTCTGGAGGACCGTTAAGCAGGAATTGTTCCAATACATGGGACAGCACAGCTCCTCACAGCTAACCAGAATGTGTCTCCAACTTCAACCACTCGATTGTTCTGCTGTACAGTGTTGCTGCCTCCTGCCTTTCATGAGAAATGCTGTAATTTGCCTCTACAGGGAGTTAGGAAAGCTTTGGTGCTGACAGAAGCCACAGGACAGTCACACTGCCCTGGGAGCAACAGCAAGGGCAGGGCACCATAGAGAGTGGATTCACTGCCCTGTGGTCAGTCAGCTTTCCGAATACAAAAACTGAGGAAAACAGCATCAGAAAGGGATTTAGCTCAAAGGGACAAATCAGGTTTTGTTGTAAGTAGTGGATTTCATGGCCCTCATGGAGAAGCAGTACTGCAAAATGTAATTCACGTTGTCCTGATTATTTTCCCTTCTCCACGGACACCAATGCCTTCAGTTCACCGGAGTGGTGCCATCCTTCACAATACCTTAGGAGCAGCTTCACATGAAAAGTACTGAGTTGCATCTAATGGCTCATATTGGAGGTTGACTCCTTCCCTTTAACCTTGAAACATGGCAGCATTCTGGCAGTGGGGTGGCCTTGCCCATACCTTCTTTCTACTGAGGGCTCTGAAAAAGGTAGGTCTGTGCTTAAGAGGAAATACAGTCAAAGGAATTTGCAGTTGACCATTTACTTCCTCATCAACCCCTAATACAAGAAATACCAGTATAGAGAGAGGCTAATAAGGCATTTTTCCCAGGTAATCAGAACAATTATGACAAACTTTCTCATGAAAATATTTGTGTGAGGACAATTGTTTTTGTTCAAAATGTGCATGGTGCTCATGGTTTAAATCACTGTCCATCATAGTCTTTTATATAGTAATACTTATTTTTGCCTTTTTTTTTTTTCTTTGCCTGGGCTTTTTGTGTTTTGGGTGTTTTGTAAAAGCAAGGCATCCAATGGGTTTAGCAAAACAAAGACCGACCATTTTTATATACTTTTAGTTTTAAAGCAGAACATGCCCCCCATGTCAGGAAGTTAACTTACCTGTTCTAATCACATGAAACTTGCCCTGAAAATCAGAGAAGGCAGTGTAATAGAAGAAGATCTGTGAAGGTGCAGGAAGTTAGATTTATTGCCATTTGTGAAGCCATTTAACACTGTTCAGAGCAGTTTTAGCTCATCAGCACTACACTGATGAATTTCAAAATATCTTATCATGTGTATCTGAGACAGCCTTCTGCAACTCATCTTCACTTGTTCTTACTTAGTGTTTGCTCTTACTCTTTACTTTACTTTTTACCTTGCTTTAAAGCTTCAGTCATTTACTACAAGAGCCAAAACCCTTCTCCTACCCACCCCATGTACTGAACAACCAACTAATGAACAGGGTGAACAATTCCTGAAGTATTTCCTTTGCCTCAGCTAACTCTAGGAACCATATTCCTAGCCATCGGAATCACACTGGAAACATGCCTTGAACAAACTTAAAGCTGCAGCCATTGCAATCAAAAGATTAACAGATAAGTAATTAATTTTGGTAAGTTGCCCTCCCACATGGACTATTTTAAACTTGAAGATTGATAAAATGAGACATTTCATAAACATGAAATTAAAAGAATCCCCAGTAGCTGCATTAAAAAAACAGACAACAGTCTTGACTCACGCATCTAACACTGTCTGGAAAAAAAGAGTTTTAAAAATATTGTTGTTAAGTACGCGATTATAGAGTACAGAAAATAATTTTTCAAAAATAGATCTTTAGTAGCAGTCTGGGTTAGAGAAGCAGATATTCACTTTGATTAGGGTTTTCTGTTGAGAGGAATAAAAATTTTAGGTGTTCACAGGATACAAGTTTAAAAATATGGAAAGTGATCTATTTACATTACAAAGATGAAATCGAGTTACAGTGGCTAATAGGATAAGTGTTGCAAGTTAGACATTAGAAGAGGGATATGAACCCAATTTACTGGGCAAATTAACTTTGTTAGAACACCTGAGCTGGTGCAAAGATAATGGCGCCTTTAGGAGACAAACTGCCTGCCTTGCCTGTGTACTCTACAGTGTTTCTCTAATGATTATAAAGTTCTTTAGGCAAGCTTTTTCACCAGCCTAAGGGAACCAAAAGACATTGATAAATGTGCAACAGAAATAGAATGGAAAAAGGACTTAATGCCCTAACTCTCCATATCTTAATACCTGCTGAAGCAGCTCTGGTTTTTCTGCTCTGTGTGACTAAAATTGTGCTTCTGGATGACACGGATGCCACTGATTTGCAAATGGAGCTACATAGTGTTTTCAGGAATTGAATACAAGCCCAGAGGATCCCTTAGAAATAATGTCCTGGAAAGCAAAGATAGAGCCTGACCAAACTTAAGGGGAGCTGAAGCCTTTCAGCAGTGTCCATCTGAGGCAGTTAAAATATGGACAGAAATGCATGTGGCAGGATCTCTTTCCTTTTTGATAACAAGCTGTACTCTGGTTCACCTTGTGCCCATGGATTTCACAGTGCCTGATACAAGTAAGGTGAATGGTGTCTGGATGCAGTCAGGCACTGAACAGGGGGATCTTAACATGCTTGTTAGTGCAGAAAGTCTTCTGCTGTTTCCAGACTGTTCAATAGGAAAGGGAGACAGACCTAAATGATGTACCCAAGGTCATGCCTCAAATTAGTAGCAAAATGGAAAGCACCTCACAAACAGTGCCCTTCTGAGATTGTGGAGCTGATCTGCCTATCTGAAAAGAAAAGAAAAGAAAGCTAGACCTCTTTGCAGTGACCAATTTAAGCCAATTTGTACTGAACAATTTGATATGAAATTTGATTTAAAAAAAAGAGAAAAGAAAGAAAAACCTTGTGAAGCTAGACTATATGGTGCTCACAGCAAAGCAGTCACCCTTTGATGTGATGGTTTAGAGGAGCTGAGGCAGAATGTGCTGATTTTGTGCAGTTTAATAGAAATAAGGCTGTGAAACATCTAATGCAAAAATCCAAGACTCTTGTCAACATATAACTCTGAACCTTAAAATTACCAGACCTGAATGCATGCAGATGAGTCGTGTTCATTAATTGCAACAGCATCTGTGCCCACTTACACCAGCTAAATATCTAACATTCAATATAAGCAGTTTTCTTGTCCCTTTCCAATTAGGTCCATTACAGAAAATCTAATTAAATCATATCTTTTAGCAGGAACCAAGAATTCAAGAGCTGTATTTTTGCACTTAATTAAAAGCCCTTTGTCTTGAATTGTTAATTTTCTGAAAAAGATATCCAGTAGTTCTTCCTCTGATCCACTTGGTTACTCAATGAAATGGCTCTGAGTTGGCTCTTCAACTGTACATTTGGACTCCAACTCTTACGAAGATCTCAGAAGATGATAGGAATCATAGCTGCTTTTCTCCGCACTTCTGGATAAAATCTCTTCAGATACAGCTTGTGTTTCTTTTGGGCCCAGAGAGACATCTGGATGACCATCAGGAAAGCAAAAATGCCAACTACCAAGGAAGAAGATTTAAAGAAAAGGATCATGTGTCTTCTTTCCATGTCTGTTTCTGTGAATGCAATAGGGTTTATGGAAATGTTTGCAGTCTCTTCTGTGGGCAGAGACAACTCTGTCCTTGCTCTCAGCCTTGCAGTTGCTCATATACCATAGTCTGAGGCTCATCCTCAACATCAGAATTCACACAGATGATGTTCACATCTGATAGACACACTATATATCACCTACAACTGCACCATAACTCACAAGGCCTCCTTGGCCATGGTGCCATCTCAACACAGAATTACCCATGGCCTCTCTCAACTATTTTTCTGGTTTGCTTTTGGACCATAACACTTCTTTGTTTTTACCTCTGGCTCTCAACCATAACAGGGAGCTGTGCTGTAACTTCCCGCTGTGTGGAGGGAGAGCTCGGCCCTGGAGCAAGTAGGCAGTAGCTGCCTGATTTAGCTGCCTGGCAGTCAGGTCTCAAAAAGCCCAAAATCTACAGACTTCCCAGGACCCTGCTGTGCTTGTCAGGAGCCAGTAAGTGGGTCTTGGGTACCTCTCCCTTCAGGCTGAGTGGCACCAAATGGGGGATGATTCTATTGGCGCATTTTGCAAATTCATTATCCTTTCTTCCTTAAAATGAGATGGTGAATCAGAAACATTCATTTGGCATCTGCTTGAGTTATGTCTGGGACAATTACAGCAAGGATGAGAGTGCTTCACATGTTGCTGCTCCTGCCACTGTAGGGACAGCCCTGCAATGTCCCCAGACTTTCAGATAATTTCCATATCAGAGCCTAAAGCATAATAATGTTTCATCTTTTCACACAAAATTTAAAGTTTAATCTTTGCATGATGTAGTTTAACCCACTTTTGAAATTCATTGCTTTTTCATTTTTAAACCATGTGGGGCTACTTTTTGCAAGTAGTTTTTATAGGTTTCTATTTTGAAATGGAAAAATAATTAAAAAGTGACTGTTTTAGAAAGCTTAGTTCCAGGAGCCATATTTTTATGAGTATTTAGGTCTCTAAGGATGCAGGAAAGTACTGAACAAGAGTCACAAATGCTACTAAGCTGGCTGCAGTTACGAGCTGGCTGCCTAATACAAGTAAACAGGGAAATGCTACCAAGAACATGTTGTCTTTCCTCTTTTTGAAATACTAAGTACATGGTTTTTTCTTTCCCTTTTAGAAGTATTATTCCAGGTTTACAATGCAAAAAAATTTTCCTATATCAAAAATGGTTGACTGTAAATGAAGAATACTGACTTATTGTTTTTCTAAATTTCAAAGTCTGCTTTTACTGTGGAAATGGAAGAAACAGTAATATGTCACAAAAAGCAGAGAGCTGATTCTGATCAAATAAGGTGTTGCAGTGGTGTTCACACTCTCCACAGCTTTCTGAGGGTAGCACTTTGAAGATTTACACAGATATCTCACAAGGGGAATTTGATGGCAATATTTCATGTGCTATAAATTTTTTTTGGCAAATTTTAGATTTCCAGAATTCACTTCCACAAACACTTTAGATGCTGTCTTCATTCTGTTTCAAGCTTACCTGGCAGAGTTTGTGTCATCACTGTGAAACTAATCCAAGACCCAGCCTGTTGCAAAGAAAAAAGCACTGTAAGTTGTATATTTACGTAAAGCAAAATGGTAAGATTTCAAAAGCTATCCCCAGAAAAAGAGCGTGGTACTTGTACTGGAAGTGGGAGAGGGAAAATAGCTAGAAATGAACCCCCCAGTGTGCTGGATGGGGTGAAGAGGTGAGTAGTAAATCCTTGGATCACTGGGGAGTCTGTAGTGGAGGGAAATAAAAACAAGAGCCATAATAGTGACATGAGGGAAGAGAAGGGTCTGGTGGAGAAATATTTGTGGGAGCAAGGAGACTCTGACGTACAGAACACCATGATTGATGTGCAGAGGGATCTGCATGGAGGCATTGCAGACTTCTGGAGACAAAGGCTGAAGCACAGTAACCACCTACCCTTTGCATATAAGTAGAAGAAAGTCATGTACCTCGTATGTATAGTTGGGACAGGACACCAGCAGGAAGAGCCATGTGAAGGGGTTGTAAGTTGGACTTGGAAAACAGATTTTATTTCCTTATGAAAAGAAAAAAAAAAAGGAGCAGGGGAAAAATCAGACAGAACCAGTTTCAATACAGGGAGAGATGAACTGAGCCTTATCACAGCTTGCCTATGTAACAGCCATCCCCTTGGCCAATGCTCTCATAGTACAACTTTTTAGAAAAGTTTTGGCGAAGTCTTTGGAGATAGCGAAAGCTGTATGTATCCCAGTGAGAATGCTGCTTAGCGAACCTTGCATCAGTTTTTACAAGAAAGTCTGGCGTGTCCAGAGGATGCAACTTCTGTTCAGAGGAAGAGAGAGACAAGTAGTTTAATGTGTACTAGCTAGCAGGTGAGGACTAAGGGCACTCTACTGGGATATAAAGGATGCAGCCGTATCTTATTCAGCCTGGTTCAGGAATATGAACCTGTCTGTTCCCACATCCTCACCCTGCATCTCTGGTTAGAATAGGAAAAAAAGTCCAGGGCTAACAGGATTACCCTCTACAGCCGCTGATAAGGCTCACACAAAAAGATCATAGTGTATACTTTATATTTAGATACTTAATATATAATACAAATTCAGTGGTCTTGTAAACATGTGGGGTTGGTTGGGGTTTTTTTGCTTGGTTTGTTTTGTTGTGGGTTTTTATGTTTGGTTGGTTTTTTTCCCTTTCCTTGCTGTCTTGGACCGGTGAGCAGGTAAAAATAATTAATTATTCTGAAGTTGGAATTGAAAGATTTTCTGTTAGGAAATATATCAGTGATTTCTCATCAAGGACTAGCATTACCATATGAAAAAAGCAAGAAAAGAATTGCAGAAATTATCTATTATCAATATTTGTAAGTGCTGGCAACAATGCTATCTTTAATACTTGTAGGCACTGAGAATGTAATTAAATTATTTGGCTCCTGCTGCTTTTAAACTGAATTAGGCCCCTTGCACCAAACAATATAAGCACCTGCCTAATCACAGTGCATGAAAAGCCTTCCAGAATAGAAACTGACTTCTGTGTGTGAAGCTGATCATACTGTGGTAAAGTAGTTTCTTGAATAGGGTGTTATAGTGGAAAATTATACTATTAATGTCTGAAACTATATTTTACTGCCAGTACACATAGTATAACTTCTATTCTCATGATACAAAAGGTCCTGAAAACCCTTTTTAGGAGCAGCCTTTTAAGAGCATAAGTATACATTGATGCCTGTGTAGGTATTCATGAGTGTCTCTTTGTGTATTTGTATATATGTGTGTGTATCTTTGCCTGAGGTGCATGTATCTAAAAACTCTGCAATATAGCTTAAAAGTTTTTGAGACTTATTTAAAATGGATCTGCTGTCAGTCACCAGCATGCTTTAAAGAACTGTGCTTAAATACATATTTAAATTGCAGTTGTGTTTAATTAAGATAGATTTACTATAAGCTTTGGAACAACAACAGTGTTGCTAATGTTTTCTTGTCACCACATTTATTTTGAAGATGTTAGACTGATAGCATAGTACCTAGTTCATCTTTCTTTAATCTGTGGATGTAGGTACATAAATTACTGTACACCAGCAGAAGATGGATAGGTTCAGCACACTTCAGTCTTAAATAGACAAACAGGAAAGAAAGACAGACCTGAATTAGTTTGGTGAGCTAAAGCTACGTTGATAAAGTGATTTCCAGCTTCACACATCTGCAAGACATTAAAAACATGTTTTCAGTTGTATGCCTAAAATGCTGTGGTAACTGTGTTGCAGTGCATAAGCAGAATCCCCCCACTACAACTCAAGTCTCTGTATCCAGAAAATATGTACTCTGAAATGCAGCCTGTGATCTTTGTGAAACACACGAGTGTCTAATGAGCACCGTGGATGCAGCCTGGGGTGAAAGCCCCTGGTTCAGCCACTGCAGAGCTCAGTCCAGGCAGGCCTTCAGCATGGGCCACATGCTTTGCTCTGGGGAGACCAGGGAGACTCTCTGGGTCTAAGGAATTCAGCGAGATGCTTTTCTTGATTTATTTTGGGTTTAATCCAGGCTGCAAAAAAGCAGGTGAAAAGCACTGGCTTTGCAAAGATGTTGTGAGTAAGGTGCCTATCCTCCTCCTACACACACTTTCAAAGGCGTTCAGCATAACACGAAGGAAAAAAATAGGGCGAAGAAAAAGGCAGTGGTTCTCTGAAGGGCAGACTGGTGGAATGGATAGTAGTCAGGAATCGATAAATGAACGGAGCCAGTATTATTACTGGTTCTGCAACTCTCTGGCTTTTGCGTTTTCAGCCCTAACCGACCTCTCAAGCTTGGTCGTTAATATTTAAATGTTTTAAATCTTTGGAAGAGGCATCGTGTCTCCCCATTTGGTTTTACAGCATGTAGTAGTAGATGATTTCAGATTTTCTTGAGGCTTTCAGTACTTCCTCAGTTACAACTCCTGAAGAATCAAACCCAATATTTACCCATATTTAAAGTAGGAGCTGGTAGGAAAACCAGTTTCAATTCCTGAAAAAGAAGACCTGCCAGCACAACTATCTAATTTTATGTGTTTAATTTTTCCCTTGCTCTACGAAGAAAATCAAAATGCTGCATACATTTCAGACTGAATTGAACTCTCTTATTCATTTCTAGGTTTGAAGACTGATTTTTCCTCTCCAGTTGAAAAAATGCACTGTTAAAAAGTTCTGTTTTCTTATATCATTTGACATTCTAAATTTTGCAAGGCTGGAAAAAGTTTAAGAAATTAAATAAAAAGGAAAATGCTAAAATCTAGAGACGTTAAAAGCATAAAGTCCAAAAATTAATACAAAAAAAAAAAACCTTTAAACTTTAAAACTGAATTGTAAAACTAAGTAAAGCTAAATTGAAAGGTAAATTAAAACTAATTGAAAGAATATATAACTTCATTTTATATTGAAATGTGCCGTTATCTGAAAGAACATTGTAGATAGCATTGCTGAAAAATTTTCCCCCTTTAGACAGAGGTTTTTGTGGGGTTTATTTGGAAAGTTTAAATCAGGTCTATTAGCAAAACTGTTATTTTGCATGGATATGTAGTTATGGTTCAAATCTTGCTGTTCTTTTATGTTTTTTTAATTACAACTACCTGATGGTCATCTGTTATAACTACCAGACGCAAAACAATAAATAGCCAGAAAAGGAAATTCTATTATAAAATACCATATCCAAAGCTATAACTCTAGCCATAGCAATAGAAGTAATTTTAATTTACATACTTCCCATTATCAGCTAGGAACATGATTTTTTTTCTGATTACTATTATTTCAAAGAAAAAGGTTTTGTAGCTAAAAGTGGTTTTGTGAAACACTATACATACTGAAATGTGCGATGCCCATACTATTGTGGAGCAGGAGATATTCACAAACTATAGTTAACCCCTACTAATTCTATAATCAATTCTAAGTAAAACAAGCAAAGGGCATTTCTGCAGGGTTTTTTATTGACTTACCTTTGACTCTGCAGCTGCCTTCTGCTGTAATTAACTCTTATGTCCCTCTCTAGAAATGTGACTGTTAATGTTCTACATTGAGAAGTAGTGCTAAATGTAAGCTAGTCCTTAGTGTCTCAGATATAAAATATGGGGCAGTGGGGAACATCAACAGAAAAGCTTACCGTATTTACAATTATAAAATATTTAAGTCTACATATATACTTTTTATATTCCATGTGCAGCCCATGAGAAAAACATCCCTGCAAAGCTTAGACTCATTTCTCTAAATGTGACAATCTTTCAGAAGGGCCTGCAGACACACTTCATATTACTCAGTACTGTTGTTTACGGCAGCTGCAGATGTATACACTTAAATCAGAATATGTAATAAACACAAGGTTTAAAAGAGGGTAAGAAAAAGAAATCCTCCAAATATTTTATTCATATGTTTTAGAAACTTGTGAAAACAGCTTCAAATTATTTTATTTTGTTTGTTGGTGTTTTAAAATCATCGTCTGGGAATCTGCCAGCACAGGATCTGAAAGGGAAAGGCTTTGAGTTTCCATGGGTAGGGAGTTCTCAAGAGAGCTGTAAGAACTGAGACCACAGACCAGGTGCTGATGCAGATCTGAAGGGGATCGTCATATTTTATATCAAACAACCCTGACAGGACTCATCCCTTTGCTTAATGGCAGCAGTTTCCCTAAAAGCTATAGCAGGGCATGTTACATTGAGGCAAGGAAGGATGTTTCAATAGAAAAGGAGGCTTTTTCTATGTAGAGACTTTGACGAGGACTAGTTTTTCTGGTAGCACTGGATATTCAGCAGTTTTCTTGTTTTCAAATAACCCCTGAGCTTGGGAAGAGTACAGAGAGCAAGGTTCTGGGCACACTACTGCCCACCACTGCCACAACCTCCTGTCCCTGATGTACGGGGTTATTGTTTTCAGCTGTAGAGCCTCATGGAGCGTGTGAACTTCTTCGTATGTGTATCTTGCTTGTCTTTGCTATACCTTATTAGGGTTTGAAAAGCTGAGAACTGCATGGCCAGCCCCAGAAACAAACACTGCCAAAACTGTGATCTTTAAGGGTCCCAATTTACAAAAGCATTTCAATATTGCTAAAGGAGTTTTTGAATGCTTTTCTGAGTAGTGTTTGCCTGAAAGAGCCTAGACTTGTTAATGTCCCATCTTCCTGTTTTACTTCTGGAAACTGATCTGTATCTGACTTTCAAAGAAGCTGACTGTTTTGGATACTAACCCATGCTTGCTTGGGTAAGTCATCACCCAGCAGTTCCAAGTAAAATGCCCTCAGAGGACAGGAAGAATTTACATTTCCATGTGAGAAGTGACTAAGCTTCTGTCTCACTGTGCAATTACGTTCATTCAAACATCAGTCTCAGCCGTCCTTCGTCAGCTGCACTTTCCCTTGGCTTAAGCCACTTTGGCAGAGTTTGTTTTTATTGTTTTTTATTGTTTAGCTGTTGAGGTGAAGTTATTCAGGGTACGCTGAACTATTGCAAAGCCTGTTTAGGATGTAATTCTTCAATGTTTTCAAAACCATAAGTTTCAATCTGCCTAAATAATTGTGTTTTAACACAATTATCAGTAGTAATAATGCTGCTGATGTCCTCATGGCTCTCCGATACAGTACTTCACATTAACCTCTGTATACATAAGTAGTAGCAGAAGACCTCCTGACTGAGAAACCTGTGAAACCTAAATCCCATCAAAGGAACAGGGCTGTGGGCATGGTCATATATACATATATGTATATACACAAATGCATAACAGTATTACTGCATATTACTAAATTGTGATTTACTCCTTTTCCACAGTCATTAATAAAACTTCATTTTTGTACGTACCAGAAAAGCAAGGGCAGCATAAGAAACTTGTCTGTGGCCAAATGCTAGAAAACAGAATGAAATGATAAATTGCATTTTACGGTATGCACATGGTTTGCTATGGGTGAAATTAATCTAGTGCTGAGGAGCAGAAATACTTCTTTCCTGACAGGCTCAGCAGAAAGATTGGATATTATCACACAATATGAAGACAATACAAATAGTAACAGCACTCTAGAAATGCCAGTCTCTTCACCACTGATCTCAAGTCAGGTTTCACCTAATGTTTTTTACTTATTTGCCATCTTCATCTATCCAATTGTTTTATCAAAGCAGCTGGTGGTGGTAAATTGAAAAGGCAAAAAGAGTAAAGAGAAATAAAGGTCAGTGGCAGAACCAGGCCAAGAATCACAGCCTTATCCATAGGCCTTTCTATCCCCATGAGCAGAGAACCCAATACATAAGCTATCTGTAAGGTACAACATACGCAGTTATTTTTCCCAAGAATGCCAAGGCAGTGGTATTGTTAAAAAAAAAAAAAGATTTATTTCAAATGCAAGTACCACTTTTTAATGATGCTGCACATACCTGGCACCCAGGGGAAAAAAGGCAATGCCCTGCCTTCTCCAATGCTTTTTGTATCTTTTCTCTCTCCTTCCCCACCCTCTGTGGCCAGAGGAGGCCTTGTACATGTCTGCAAACTTGTTATCACTCAGCATACAAGGGAGATAGATAGCTTGCTCACAGCCTCTCCCTGCAACTTCCTCTGAAATGCAGAAGGAAGGAAGCAAAAACCATCTAACCTGTTTGAGAAGGCATTTTACAGTCTTCCTAAGCGAAATCGAGTTCTAGCTTTCTGTCACAAATTCTTCCAAAATTGTACCTATCCCTACATCATCTACTACCTTTTTTTTTTTTTTAAGTAGTGAGTCAATAGTGAGGCTTTACTACATAGCTACAATATGCTTCAGTCTCACCATGCAAGAAATATATTTAGCCTTTGTAAATTTTACCTGTCATTTGCCTGCCTTCTCCTCTTTGCTCTTGTCCCCAGACCAGTGTAGGGCTCTACCATGTTCATCTCCAAAGGTTTGCAGTTCTCAAGTAAACCTTGCTCACAGATGATGGACACAAACCATATGTATATACCTCATCTCCCTGACCAAGTCTCATCAAGCATTTACTTTTGAGAACCCTTTTTTTCTGGCTGGCACATGACTCCTCAGTGACGCCAAGGGCACGTGCTAAAAGGCCTCCTTGGAACCACCAGCACATGTCAACTTCTGAGCATGTAGCTGCTAAGCAGATGTTCTTCATAGGCCCTTTGTCAGCCTGGCTTAACTTACCACTCCTGTGGTAAATTCTGCAACTATCCTGCCTTTCCTTGCTGGACTCCAGACCAGTGATTGCTGGAAAGGGCTGTGGAGGTTACCTGTTCCTGCATCCAAAATAAACCATCAGTGTTTTACTGATTCCACTAACCATGTCAGAGGGCTGGCGATCTCCATCATTAGACCCAAATACCTATAACTGTCATTTTAAGGCAGTGGTAAGCAATTGGAAATATTTCTTCTAAAAGCTTTATCTTCTGTATCTTGAACAAATGATTTCCTCAATAAAGAAGCTGAACCTACTGATTTGATAGCCCAGACCGCTAAAAACTGTGTCTAGGGAGTTTTCTATATTGTCTGCAGCTTTGTTGTTAAAGCCACAGCAAATTCAACTGTCTTTCAATGAATCACATAGTTTTGAAACAGAACTTCTGTGCTGTTTTGAAAGAAAAGCGTCATGTACAAGAATTTTTTTATTGAGAAAACTTAGCAATTTACCTGAGTGTAAATAAAAATGACAAAGCAACTGCTTTGTTCCCAAAGCTCATAGATAAATCTAATATACAAAGGAAAAGAAAGACTATGGTGTAGCGAGGGAAGTAAAACAGCAAAAAATAAAACTGAAGCCAATAATGCTCAAAAGAAGCAAAGGCTCAAAGAGTAAAAAAAAGTCATGAAGATACAGCAGTGCAACAATCAAATATGATTAGAGGAAACAAAATGATGAATGAAACCTGAAAGTTCAAAAGATAGGATCTTTTGGTTATCAGCAGTATGGGATGGATTTTTACTGTTTTCTCACAACAACAACAACAACAAAAAAAAAAAAAAAAAAAAAAAAAAGAAAAAGAAAATCCTAATTTTCATGAAAAGGATGTATCTTTAGCAAATAAATATCTCCTCCAAGAAAATGCAGACAGTTCTAGTTTTCTCCTGTATTCTTAATACAAATGTTGTGAAGAGGAGCAAAATTTCTGTGTTTTTTCCACTTGGCCAATGTTTCCTCCACTTGGCCGATGTTTCCAGTTGATAAGACTGGAAAGTGATTGCCCATTATTGAACAGGCACATACATTTGGTGGCACAAGCAGAGGTACCTCCAACATAAGAATCTTCCTTCTGACAGGGTGTAAAGGCTATTTTCTGCTAGATTAGTCATATGATCTCATGTGGGACCATCTATTCATTTTGGAGGACTTGAGGTTACATGCCAAAAACTTTTTAAAACCAAGGTCAGATTTGTGTTCTACTCATACATACATGGTGGAGTATACCGTGGGTGGTTGATGTAGTAGGCGATCCAGGATGTGAATCCCCAGTAAAAGGCACAGCCCTGGAACAGACAAAACAAGATAATCTTTTTGAAAGGGCAATAAGCAAGTACAAACTGGAACTTTATAAACATAAATTCCAGTAAGTGCAAAACCCAGATGACCATTGAAAGACTTTGCAGTGGCTTTGTGAGTCTCAGAATAAATGTCTTTTTTAATATGCTGTGAAGCTAGGGGAAAAGGAAAAAAAGGACACAACATAGGTTTTTTTTATTATTATTATTGTGTTAAATGTGTTTTATGTCTGTTGTGGGAATTGGGGTTTGTTTTCTTATTCTTTGATTCTACTGCTGAAGAGCACATTTCTCTAAGTTGTACTATTAAAGGTCTGGGGATGGTTAACACAGCTGAGCTGTTACTGTACCTTAAATTCAGCATTTCCAAGCAAGATAGAGCTAGACAAACAGAATGTTAAACCAGACAAAACAATAAGGATTAAAAGTGAATAAGCCTGGTTTAACCCTGTCAAAAAAATAAGGAACATCCTTCCTATAAACATATTTGGCCTACACACTACATCTACTCCCATAAATTGCACCCCATTTTATCATCTTGCTGAAAAACAGCACCCCAACTGCCTTTGCTTGGTGATTGAAGCCATGGGCTTAGTAAAGCCCAAGCAGAGATAATGTGATTATGTTCTTGATCTGTGTAGGAGTCACTGCTCCCATCCTTTCTGCAAGAGTAAACCAAAATCCACCAACCAAACAATCAAAACCACCCCGGAGACTGGATAAAACTTTTCTGTGTGTCTAAGTTAAGGATCCCATGCTCAGTAGCTGTTGAAGAAGAACAGTGTGCTAGGACTGGGTGCAGTTCCATGCCATAAATAGGGCTGCAAGTCAGGCTGTCTCTTTTTAATCTTTTTATGCAATGTCACTGTGGTACACAATGGGATAACAGTAACTCTGGGTCTTTAACTCTCACATACATGAGTCACTCTGGTTTCAAAGCCATTTGGTTTATTTAGCTTATACATCTCTATATGTGCATCTCATTAGCTCCTTTCTGACTGGAATTGAGTCAAGCCCCTTATCATGACCATATGTTTATTTCCTTTACTAAAACCCTAAATGTTTTCAAAACATTTAAAAGGAATGTCTTTAAGTCACATTGAATTGGGGTGGGGGCGTGATACAAAGTGACCGAGATAGAGTGTGTGAAATAAAAGAAAGGAAAGCGTATGAGTAATGACACACAGTGGACATTCGGGAGGCTTTGGGAGACAGAAGACTAGGCCAGCTCAGTATTGTCCTGCCTGAGGCCTCCATCTATAGAAGGAGAATTTTTTTTTCTACTTGTAATTTGATTTTTGCTTCCTAATGCGAGGCCTGGCTCTCTCTCTGTATTTATGTTGCACAGAGGTAGTAGTGCATGATTTCTATCAACATTGCTAGATGTTGCAGCAGCAGCTCTCATAGTAAAATAGGATTCAGTCTCAAAAATATCCTGGACATGACAATCAGCCCCTTGGGTGGATGAGTCAAAGTGGACATTGACATGCAGGAACTAAAATGGACATCAATTTTAATTCATGTCCTTGGGGACATGGCCCTGAAATTTTCCTGTGTCTGTATTTAGACTAAACATGGTTCTTGGAACTACAAAATAAATTTTTATTTCCCTATCTCCTTCCAAGGACTCTTTGATATGAGAATATTCTCTTACACAAAATGATAAACATATTGGTACCTTTATCATATTTTTCAGAGGAGTGTGCCCTTCTGAAAACTTGTGAACAAATAATGTCTCCAGAAGATGTCTGATGTAGTGTAAACAGTGACAGAAGCAGGCCAAGCTGGAAGTAAAAAAAAAGAAAGGAAATTGAGGTAAGTGAAAGATTACTTTTTATTACTTCACAGTTAATGTCATGAAAGGAATAAGAACTAATATTCCAAAACTGCAGTCACATTGAAATAGTGGGATTTAAGTTATTGTGTTAATTGAAGCATCTGGAACCAAAGATTAATGGAATCATTTTCAATGTTATACAAAGTTGCTTGCATTTTGCAGGGAAGCAACTTATTTTTTACTAGCCTTGAATTAGAAAGAGCTCCTCGAGCTCTGAATGTGATACATAGCCCTAAAAGACATTTAGACAGGACAGCTGTGTATACAACCAGGAGTCTGACATGCTTTTCAAAAAGAAGTCTCCCATGTTTTAAGGCCACCTTAATGCTCCTGTAGGATGTGTCTGACATTTAAAAACATTTTGAATATCTTCTGAATGGTTTCCTTGTCCTTTGCCTACTCAAGTAGCTGCATGGAGGTAGTTTGTATTTCATTTCCTTGTGGACGCAAAATGGGATTTTTTTGCAAAGTTAATCCATTCTGATGGCTTTTTCGTTGCCTGTTATAAAGAAATGAGGTAATTGTGGTAGAAATTATTATACTGATTCTCTTTTGAGGACGATTATGAAACAATAACAGGCATTGCTGATTTGCTTCCGAGAATGAGTTGCAGCTCATAGTGATTGAGTTTCTGAAACAAATGTCAAGAGTGATTCCTGATGGCATTTTATCTTGGTTACATTTACCACACTACCATAGCCCATCTTTCTGCAAACCAATTATAAGACATAAATGAAAAGTGGTTTTCAGCATGTAAAATCTCAAATACTTTTATTATGCATCTTGTATGGAAGCCAGAGTCAAAGATTAAACAATTTCAAAGTGATTAAACCAGAGAGAGTTGAGCTAAAAAATTTTCAAACAATTAATGACTTATCCAAAGCCTGGAGCAAACTTTCAGCTTTGCTGGGAATTTTAAAATGAATTTGGCTTAGGATGGGGACCTCAGATGAACCCATTAAGGAGTGGTCACTGGAAGGATTCTGTACACTCCTTGCCCACATAAAAGAAGGTAAAGGTGTTTCTGGTTCTTCCGTGCTCTCCCTTTAAGCATATGAGCAAGAGAAGGAAGACAAACATCTTGCAGCTCTGGATTTGAATTCAATTCTCTGTTCTAATTCCCAGCTCCACTAACCCCCTTAATGTCTCTCCAAGTGTCTATTCCTCCATCTGCAAAAGGTATTATTACTCACTATGTTTCTCTGCTGTATACTAGTTTCCTTGATTCTGCAATCATAGTGTGGAAAAAGTGCTGTGGGAGAGCTGTACAGTCCTTTGAGCTTTCTAGTTCCCTGTGTGCCCTCCAACAAGTAGTCCAACTTACACAGATGACAGGCTTTCCTTGGTCACATTTTACCCTTCTGACAGGCACTAACCACCCAGAATGGGGCCAATTGCACTGAAGGGAAGTTCCTTAAGTGTGAAAGTTCCCAGCCTTCCTGGTGCATTATACCACCATCCTGTGGAGATGCCCCTTTAGAATTTCTTGACCTGACTCGTGACATGCACACCTGCTGAATTTCCTCCTTCTTCTGCCTAGGTGAGCGCTGGTGTGGGGGTAGTTATCCTCTGTGCTGGATGCTGATGCTACTCATCTCATAAGCAGGAATGTGCTATAAATAGACTGGGAGTGGGACACCTGAAGTCTTGTCCTCTCTTCTCTGTCAAGCTTGACTTTGGTTTACTACCCACTGTTTTTATTATTTCACCTTCTGTTCAGGCTTTGTGTCTAGAGTGCAAACTATTTGGAGGAAATACTGCATCTCCCATGGTGACCATTGCAACTGGGATCCCGTTTTTGGTCAGGCTTATGAGTTCTGCTAAAATGCCAAACTGTCCCTGGTAAGAATTGAATCTTAAACCAGGCATGAAGCCCCATACTCTGTGTAACCTCCTCCACTCTGGAAGTGCAGTCTCCATCCCTCTGGCTCCTCATGCTTCAGGAAAGTTGTTCACACAAGTGTCACTTACTGAACCACCGGGTGGCGGAAGTTCTTCCTACTTTCCACTTGATCATAAATAGTTGAGAGGCGAATATAAAAGAGCAGATATATTAGAAGAGGTCCAGTGTATTCTGTTAGAAAAAACTAGAAATGAAAAATAAAATAACTGTATCAGAGTAGAAAATTGTACCAGTAAAGGTATGAGAAAAAGAATACCCCTATCCACAACCCTATTCATCCTTCAAATGGCATTTTGGCTTCATTTTGAGGACTTAAATGACACATTGAGGTTTTTTCTGCTATCTCTTTAGCAAAGGAGTAAAATCCATCTAGGAAGTGTGAGAGAGGTTTCTGTGTAGAAAATTAACCCAGTCAGGAATGCTTCATGGAAGGTGGTCAAAACCATATTTATCTCCTCTTTATATTTTTGGCTGTGACATCAAAAGCCCATTTGGAATCAAAATAGCACTGAAAACCGAGGTCCAAAAGCTGAAGGCGGCTTGCTTTCTGCCAGAGTTTTTTGCAATTAAGTGCTAAGTCAGTTAAAAGGCAACCAAGCATGACAGAAACAAACATAGCCTCAACTCCTGCTTGCTAGCAGAGTCATCTGGAAGGGAGGGATCATTGGTCGAAATTTGGTGTTGGGTGGAAGAGCAGGACCAGCCTGCCTGGTGCATGGTGCTTTGAGCTTTTGTTCAGTGACTGAGTGGTACTCCGCCTGAGCAGACTTATATACAAGTAAATTACCCTGTTGTGATGAAAGTAAAGCAGGAAAAATTCATTTCATCTTCCCACTGTCACCCTTGCTAGACACCGAGAGCTGAGAGAAGGGGCAGGAAGAGAAGGCGGAGTCATAGAGCTTCCATGAGCCTCCTTCAGTTTTAAGTCCTGGCTTTGGTTTGGTACAGTCTGTATTGTGTTTTGTTGGGGAACACTCTTAGGCCACAAACAGCTGGAGGAAGTAAAACAAGGTTAGAGTGATGTGAGGTCAGGATTTGATCATCTGTCCCCACTGGAATTAATCTCAGAATAAAATGGAAGCGGTATAGTCCTGCACGTTTACAAGCACTGGCAAATCATAACTCAAGTGCATAGTATTGCTTAAGGGGTACAGATTTATAATTAATTGGCCATTTGGCTTTAAAGTGGCTATTCACACTGCTACGGAATTGTAATGAATAAATACCTGTGGCTTAAGGAAGCAACACTGCATTTAGACTACCTGTCTCAAAATTAGTATTTGGCCCCCCAGGAGGCTGTTCTTCTAATTGCTCTTCAGAAGAGCATTGGAGAAGAAAGGTTTTCCTGCAGAAACATCCTGCAATTAGGTTCCCTTCATTTGGGACCCCCAGTACTATTTCTTTTCTTCTGTTATAGGGGGAAACTTTTTGAAATTTTAGCCTTTCATAGCAGGACTGTCTCCAAAAGGAACAGATTGAAGTGTTCTCTACCAATATTTTCTTTTGTTCCATGTGACATCATGACTTCTGTGCTCCATTTAGACTCTGCATGATCCCCAGAGCAGGTGTGTGTGTAAAAACATTTAATCTAGGAGAGTCTAAGAGCATATTGTTGTGGAATACTCCACAATTAAGGGCTTATTAGTGTTTTGTCCTAATAGCAGTTGTATAGGTCTGTTCCTAACTGTGAGCCCACGGTGTTAGGCACTCTGCAAACCCTGTAAGAGATGGCCTCCACTTTTAAAATTTGATACACTAAATATAAACAGTGGTGGTATAGAGGACAGAGGTGCAGAAAATATGACCTGGGCAGGTCAGTGTAAAAGCTTGGAATGAGCTGCTTTCTTCAGCGTAGCTTTTTCTGTCATCCATGAGTTGCACCACAAAATACATCCGTAACTGCCAGCTTTTATCATCTGTTTGGCACAAGCATATTACAAAGCTGCCAGGAAGAGTTTGGCAGGACTTAGCACCAAGTTGTGCTTATTTGTCACTGCACCAAGTGTTCCCCCCTTGCCCCTTGACTGATTTCAGATGCTGAAAGAAAGAAACTTTCAAAATCCAGTCTCTATTTAACAGCCAAAGCGACCAAGCACATAATACCTGAATCCCTGTGATGAGGTTTGTTGTAGGAGGGGGAAATGCAGGGTGTCTCATCAGAGGAATTCAGAGAAGCAGCTCTTGAGTTGGGGTTTGTGGAGGTGAGCAGCACCAGCATGCTCAAGGTGCTTCACAGAGACACCTGTTATGGCTGGGGACAGGGTTCAGTCTTGTCTGTGTGTCGATCACATCTGACACAAAGTGTTAATCAACAAGGTGGAGGAAGGTGGTCCAGGGTCAGCCATGAGATTGGCAATCAGAGTAGGTACTGTCTGGCAGGCAGGACTATATTTGCCTTTGTCATAACTGTGCCACACTGCTGGAACATAGTTAAGATCGGTAACATTCTGTTTTAGAGGATGAGGTTCAATTTTTTGTAGTGGCTTTTGTTGTATTTTATTTTATTTTGCTTGAGTTTCACACTGTTTCCTTCTGTTGCATCTCCCATGCTGCAACCACTGCTCTAGTTCTCTGGCCCACTGATTTTAAATTCATCAGAAATGAAAAATGAGTTCCAGAAAGCCAGCAGAGAAACTCTGCTAAAAATTCCCATGAGTTCAAGCAAGTGAAAGGGAAAGCAGTCTTAAATTAACACAACATTACAATAATTTCAACCCATTGGCAATCAAGGGCAAGCACCATTTTTTGAACTATTGATTCTCAATGAGTGTATTCAATTAAGCCTATCTAATATCTTCAGACTCATCCTACAGATGACTAATTGGGGAGTTATTTGTTGTGTCAAGGATCAGTTCAACCTATCACTTTTATAGGTGTTCAAAATTACTAATTCCTGCTGACATGTCCTGCAAAAATAATAATCACATTTTAAACTAAAGCATGAAAATAATAACACTGTAGGTTGTTGTTTCTGAGCAAAAGAAATACCACTTCATTTAAAAAAGTGATCATTTAAAGCATAGAGCAGTTTTATTCTGTAGAAACATTAAAAAAAAATACTTTTTCTTTACCATCTTGTGGTCCTACCTAGATTATTTTGATGTATTTGGTGCAACCAAATATGGTAGTCCATAATAAACACAAAGATCTTTTCCTGGAGGAGCATTATGTTTCTGTAACAGTGAGCATAGGTCAATAGAATTTAACTTTTGGGCTTATCATTAACTCTCCGAAGAGAGAAAAGAGGATCTTTTTTCCACATCTGCACAGTTTATTTCATAGCATGCAGAGTGTCCAGTTCTCTTCCCTTCCTTCTCCCCTCTCCACTGTCTGGCATTATATACTCTATATACCTCTCATTCTCAGTAGCATAGAGAAAGTGTTCTTGAATCAAAGTATTCTTGAGTCAAAACTCTCACAAGCATGAGCTCCATACAGGGTGATAAACTCAAGGTTCTTTAACTTTCTCAATTATCAATCAGGTCCACGGGGATCTGAGTCAGTAACACATAAACTGGAAATATCTACTACATAAACAACAAAACTGAGATCTGAAACGTGCCCAAAGAGAGCAAAGATAGGATTTTCCATCGTTGAACAGAAGATGGGACAAATGGTAAAATGGTAAAACAATACACAATAGCTAATCTGCAAACCAGCAAGGCATCTCATCTTACATGAGCTAGATTGTACCTGCTTCTTTTATCTCTGTTCAGCTGATCATGCCAGTAACATCTTGCTGAACCGAGTTACAGCCAGGTCAAGAATTAAAATCCCAGACCATATAGGGCAGAGAGTTTATCTAGGGAGGCACGAATGGAGCAGAGGTGAAAAGAGTTTTTCAAAGTTATTTGAGGGAAGGTGAGGTGATTTTTTGGCTGGTAGGGGTAGCTGACATTACCCCAACAGGTCTACTGAAGGGAATTGAAAGGATTTTGATTTGGTTAATAGTACCGTGTGTATTGGTTGCAAAAAGGCAGAAAAGGACAAAAGGAAGCTATAAACAGAGGCAATGGAGAGAAGGGAATCTGAAAAAATTCCAACAGAATCTTCATAAATGAACAGCCCACATATTTGTATCTTCACGAGGGCATCAGCTAATTCCTCTCTGTAATGTTTATGACATGCCCTTTCTGTAATATCACACAACACACCCTATCTTATTGCCTCTTGGCATAGTCTCACATTATCTCATTTATGACAAGCAGCAGAGCTGAGGAAAGGCCGAACAGCCTCTTCCACACTGATCCCTTCCTGCAGCTCTTTCCATGCCATGTAGGGGCAGTTTCCTAGTTCATTGGTACTGGTTGTGATGTTTTCCGCTGTCCATGGGATGTCTGGGTTCAAGCAGGGAAGCAGAGAGTGCGGGATGAGGATAATACCCTCAACCAAGACAATGACTTTGGGTCACTGTCTGTAGCTCTCAGCACAGCAAGAGATACAAAACAGCTCAAACGTGTCCTGGGTAACTCTGATGGAAAAGCAGCTGTAGTTTATAAATTATCTAATGGACAGGGCTTAGTTTCTCTGATAAATATGAGACAAAGGCACTAGATGCAGGTCTGAGCCAAGGTCAGACTGAGGCAGTACATACAGCACAAAGAGGAGAATCTACTGATATCAAAAAAACAGACCATTACTATGTATGAGTGTACAGAGCGCAGCTTCTGAGAAACCCAAGAGATCAGGCAGTTGAATCCGCCCAAGTCCCCAGATCACATTAAACTTAACATCTAACTACCTTAGACTCCTTTTACAATCCCAGCCCTGAGTACTGTTGAGCTAATGATCATTAAGAAATGTTATTAATTTCTAGACTAATTTCTGCTTCATAGGCTTTGTTACCTCATTAAAGGCCATACTGTTACCTGGGGATGATAATGGCATAATTTTAGCGCCATCTCTAAATCTTCACCTTTGTAAAAGTTTCATATTTTCATGTTTGTAAAAATCCATGGCAACAGCAATTTTGTCTCAGATAATACAATTCTTAAGGGCTGCTTGAATATTCAATGACTTTTTGTTCCCGTTCTCATGTAATCCATTCTGCAAAACTTAAATAGTGCATGCAGGGGCACCTGAAACTTCCCTTGTCTGGGCAGACTCTGCAGTGACTTGGTGTCTATGAGTATTTCAGGCTGCAGCTCAATATTTACTGCAAATACCAGAAATAGGGATGGATTT